AATTCACAGTTATACCAACAAATCAATCAATAAATAATTTGTGTCATGTGTTTCTATTTAAAGGACATATTTAACATATGACAGAGTCAGTGACAATGAACTCCTAGCCAATAGGAGTGCAATTCATGGTTTAAGAAGCTCAACCTCTGAACTTCTTATTTTGGCTGTAAGACGCATCACAGCCTCTCTGTGGGTAGACTACACAGCATCTCAGTTTCAAAATTGAAGCAGAGGGCCAGGGATTTAGCTCAGTGGTGCCACAGTCTGCCTCACAAGCACAAGGTCCTGAGTTTAATGCCCAGTACAAAAAAAAAAAGAATTGAAGCAGACTTGTTTCAATAGTACTAGACAGATGGCAAAAAGGGCGATTATGTACAACACAACAACTGAGGCAAAAGCAGCCTCATTTAATCTCAGCTGGGAACATGTGCAGGGGTCACCCAAATTTTTCGGTTTATGTGCGCCCACAATGACCAGAAGAGCAAGGCCAGGGAAGACAGTGTTAATGCGGGGTTGCAAATGGGCTGTATCCAGCAGTGAACCCTCACAGAGGGGACTTCTCATATTCCCTATGCCAAAGAGGGAAGAAACAGAGTAGTAGGAAAGGAAATGGGGCAGATAAGATGGTTGCTGTGACCTAGCCTCAACAGTTCCCTTGTGTCCACATCCAGGTAACAGGGTTTTCCCATGTATGCCAGAGGGGCATAGAATTAGCTGACCTGGAGCCCAAAAGGCATGCCATGCCAGTGAAGAACGTAGGAAGCAGTAAGTATGATAACCCTGATGGTCAGTATCAGGCCAAAGTAAGGACGCTCCAATAAATGCCAGAGCCCACATACAGAAAGGAAGATCACTCAGGCCCCATCTTCTCACCCCTGCCCAGCTCTGCTCCCTCACCTAAGAACACCAAAAGATGTAAATCAGAGGCAGTCTTCTATAAAAAGAGATACATGTGTTTTTTACTGAACTTACTCAAAACATACCGGGAAACCCATAAGCTGGTCCAGATTTAGTACCTGCTTAAAGTAGAAATGATCATGATTACTCAAGCTTCTGGGCTTCATAATGAAAAGTTGGGTTATTTTAGGATTTGTTCATCAGCAGCACGTATTTGTTGCCAGGCATATATTGTGGAAAACATGGACACCAAGATAAGCATAACAAACATATATAAGATAACGTATAATATGCATAAGATGCCTTTGCACAGGAAAGGATTATCAGAATTGACAAGAGAAAAAAGACCACTCTGAATACTGATGCACAGAGAAATTTCACTAGGAGGATGGATAATCTGACTAGATCATAAAATGTAAGAACAGTGTGCACGCGTAAAGGAGAAATAGTAGACTATTTCATATGGGGAGAATGCAGGAAGAATGTGAGCAGTAAGGAATGCTCAAGGCATACCTGCAGGCAAATAAGTAGATCAGTTTGAGTAAAGCAGAATAACAGTAAAGAAAAATGTGAGATGATATGACAGGCACAGGCACGGCAAGAGAAGAATCCATTCAACTTGGTGAATGACTAGCTCTAAGGACAAAGCAGCAAAAGCATGACTCGTAACAGACAACTTTAGTTTTGAGTTTGGGGACATGGAATTATGGTACCAAACCAGTGCAGAACTGGTTCCAGGCAAAGGAATGTGAGGTGACAACATGACCTCCCAGGGGAGACGATGAGCTCGAGCTAGAAGTAGGAAGCTGATCCCACAGAGAAGCCGAACTGGAAATGTGGATTTTAGACTTCTTGGTGCTAAACTAATCTCTGAGCCCTGCAAACAGGTGAGTATCTGAGGCAACAGAAAGGCAGACAAGAAAGAAATATCACAAAGAAAACAAAGAAGGAACAGTTAGGGAGTCAGATTTCCCTGTAATCTAGGAGGAGAATCCAGAGAGTGACTCGGGAGGAAAAGCTCAACTGTGTGAGTAAAAGAGACAGAGGATGAGGAATTCAGGTGAATTTTTGCTCCAGCTGGGTACTTGTGTAAGAGCAGGTTGAATACAGTGATCTAGGTGAGAGTCAGGATGCCTTCAAAAATGACTAAAGCATTTGTTTCTGGAGACATAATGGAGACAAGGACCACTTTGAGATAAAGCCAATTTTGAATTACTAGATTTGCAAGATCATCTAGGAAAAGGATGGAAGAGGGCTGGTTTTGTTTGTTTTATTCTGAGGTTTCTTCATACTAAGAGGAAGCACCCAATGGAGAAAGAACAAATGAAGATTCATAACAGCAATAGGAACAACTATTCCAGAAGACTCAGTGATAATAAGGTCTAAGTTTTGTATGGTTTTTGTTGTGTCTCAGGTACTGTTCCATATGCCTGACACACGGTTGTCAGTTTTATTCTCATAATACTGCAATGAGGTAAGGACCATTAAAATCCCCAGTGTAAAAAGAAGTAAAGGGGCTTCTTGAAGGTAAACTACATGTCCGATAACACCCTCTGGAAGGAAAGTTTAGAAGAATGCACTGCAGATTCACAGAAGATTAAAGCCCTTGAACACCTCCTCTAGCCCCGAGGAAGAGAGGACTCTGTAGCCTGGGAAGTGAAGTCCAGTGTGGTTCTACAGAAGGGAGGGTGGAGAGGTTTGAGTCTGGAGACAAGACCAGTAGGTGAAGTTTTACGGCCAACTTTGGGAACAATGCTAGTGACTGGAGAAGGGTTAATTTAGATGGCAGATTCTGTTCTACAATTATCTACAAGAGGAGCCGGGGATTTAGCTCCGTGGTTCTGCTGCCTGTTTTGCAAGCACAAGGACCTGAGTTCTATCCCCAGTACCAAAAAAAAAAAAAACAAAAGAGAAAGAAAGCTCTTGGTAAATTATGATGGGATTAATGTAATATCTAAAACAATGTTTATAAACATAGATATCAAAGTGTATTGCTTGCTCCTCAGAGTCTGAAAAAGCATAAGCTAAAATATGAAGGAAATGCTGTTTATCCTTGTTTAACAGTTTCAGAAACCATCAACAAAATATCAAAAGAATGAGCCATTTCATGTAATTGATATCTATAAAATATAATAATAACACTATCATAGATGATAATTTATAAGAAACTGGTTGAATCATAAGAAACATTAATTCTAATAACTAAATGGATTTCATAAATGTTGGCAAGCATTGAATCATAGAGAAATTCAGATAACATAAAATATTTTTTAAAAGTAATCATACTTTCCATGATAGACTGCCTTTTTCAAGATCAAAAGTAGACACAACTAAGTCATTAAAATGTCAGCCTTAACTTTGTTGGCAGAAAATTAATATTTTGCTTAATTCGGTACTAACCATCATAAATGGCATAAAACATGAAAAGCTAATTCTTCCTTATGTAATAGGATTTATTTTAAAATAATTGTGCTTTGTCTGGGTTTATGAACATTATTGCTTTAGAAAAAATATCTCAGAGTCCAAGGAATTTTGTTCAACTATACCTGGAACATGGTTTTGACTGATTTTCAGTTTTTTTAAAAAAAGTATTTCATTAGTAGTGGAGAATTTTCAAGATAAAAGCTTTTAAACAAGATTTTGAACTACACAAATATTCAATTAAAGGTCCAGTTTTATGAGTCAGTTATCATAAAAAATTTCCAAGGTCTAAGAGTCTGTATTAGTAAGGCTGTCCTTGTGATAACACTCAAAAGAGCAAGACACACTTATGAGGAAGGCCACAGAGTACTGACTTAGTTACTTTTCTAATTGCTGCAATGAAATACCCACCATCCACAAGTTAAAGGAAGAAAGACTCATTTCAGCTCACAGTTTTAGAGGTTTCAGTCCATGCTAGACTGGATCCAAGGCAGGGTGGCACAGCAGAGGGGTATTACAGAGGAGAAACAGTCCATGGCAGGGTAGACAGGAGACAACAGCAACAAGCAGCAGCAAAGCACCAGCAGCAAGCCTCCTTTTCCTGTTGTGCCATCCGGGTTATAAGCTTTTTAGGTGTTGCCACCCACACCCAGGATTGGGCTTCCTTTACCCACCCCCTACACCATGCTAAGCCAATTAGTGGCCTGATAGCACACTCTTAATCCATATTCCCATACTCTGAATCCATATTCATACATCCTAGATCCAGCCACCTCCAAAAAGCCCACCTATGAATGCATGAGGCTTCAGGAAGGGATATCCAAACACAAGCCATAACAAGTATTGATTGCTTGCCCTCAAGAAAACATGTGATTGCATTCCAAAGGCAACCATAAACAATCTTTCAGAAAACATTTTTGTTTCGTGCATGTACTCATATAGGTAAAGTATCTGTATATATAAGTATATATCCTACATACTGAATACTTCACAACATTTTATCTAATTGCTCTATACTATGAGGCAGATGGGCACACTTTAAAACAAAATGTTGATATCATTTTGCAGTCCTTGCAGTAATTCTAAGTATTTCTTTGCTCATTGACTATAATTGTAAGTACCGCCTCATCAAGTCATGGTAATTTAAGAAGCTTTTTAAGATCACTGAACTAAGACTAGAATACAAATTAGTAGTGGAATCTTGGCAAGTTTTAGGAATACTCTTGGAATTTTCACACTAAAGATAGAACATGAAACAACGAGGACATAAAACAGGAAATGACTTTGAAAGAAAAAAAAACCTATTTTTCAAGGTAATATGTTTTAATACAGACATTTAATATTCTTAATACACTTACATTTTGAATCTTTAAATATTCTTGATCTGTGTTTTCTCCAAATTTAAGTTTGGTTTTTTGTTTTGTTTTGTTTTGTTTTTTGTTTTTTGTTTTTGTTTTTTTGTTTTTTTTAAGACAGGGTCTCACTATGTAGTTGAGACTGACCTGGAACTCACTATGTAGCCCAGGCTGGTCTTGAACTCACAGCAATCCTCCTGGCTCAGCTTCCCAAGTGCTGGGATTACAGGTGTGCGCCACCATGCCAGGCCAAATTTAAATTTTAAAAGGTAAACATAATGAAGGCTCACAGCCCAGAGTACTTCCCATCGCTCAGAGGATTCTCACCTTGTTGTATGTGTTGTGACTAAGGAGCGCATGAGAGTTCTGCTCATCATGCAGTGAGAAGGAGGACAAATGACTGAAGGGTCCTGGGCTAAGACAGTCAGCATAGGACCGGGTCGGAGGATGCAGCAGAGACTTAGCAGGAGGGTAGAGTTTAGTCTGATATAAAGGATGGAGCGAAACAGGCTTGGGAGGGACTGTCACATCCTGGGAAAGAGAAAGGCACAAGGAGTTGGTTAGTGGACAAGCGCACCTTGACTACAGTCTATCAGAGACATGTGTCAGGACCTCTAACTAGTAAGAAGGTAATCTCTCATAAGGAAGTGTCCCTCACAGACACCTGCTTTCAGAGTGTGTGGTTTCAATAACTCCTATCAGTGCCCCACCTCCAGCCTCTTCTAAGCAGAAAAAAAAAATGCTGGAAAGAATCCTCTGCAGGGTGTAAGCTCACTATTCGTGAAAATACTGAGAGAGAAATGTATAAGGAAGAGTCTATCCCAAGGGATGGCTAAGCTCAGGCACGTCTTCCCTAAAAACAGAGGTAACAGTGAAATTATTTCACTCATGCTTTCAGTTTGGTCCAGAAGCAATTGGAGGAGAAAAAATAAGCCATTTCAGGGGATACTAAGGTGTGAGTTGAGGCGACGCATTTAGCTCAAGGCACAGGAAGTTAATGAGTTGAGTTTGGCCGGCCTTAGGGATCAGGAAGGAGTGAATGTGGAAGAATGAATAAGGTCTTCAATTCTAGGCAGCGATGTCTTACAGAGCACAAGGTGGTGCAGCCAACAAATGAGTTCAACTACAGTGGGCCCTTGATATGGAAAGGGGAAGACTGTTAGGAAAGAAAAGCTACTCATTGAGGCCAGGAATTATGTAAGTTGAACAAGGAAACCACAACAGTGAGAAATCTTGAGCCCATGTGTGTGTCCCCGGTGTGCCGCATCAGACTCTATGGTGCTAAGTGAGAATCTTCTCCCCAAACTGTCTGGGAGATTCTCATGCACACCAGAGTTCAAGAAGCTCAGCCTCAAAGGTTTATATTAATATTCAGGTCTGCTTTTGAGAACAGCCTTCTCAGTTGCCTGAGGGTGAGGTTTAAACTCCACAGTGATTTCTTGTTGAGAATAGATATTTCTAGCAGCATTGTTGATCAAGGGATGGTAAATTTTGACAACAAATGTGAATCTTTTATATATTATGTATGGTTTGTGGATATTTTCACTAACCTATGTGATTTCTGTCTCTTTGTCATGCTGCTTAGGTATACAATCTGCACCCTATCCCTGAGGGAGCTGGTGCCCTGCAGACAGCAACGCCTGGATAAGCTCTGCTAGAAGCTGGGGTGGAAAGAGTTCTCTTTCCTTGGTAAAAACAGCAAAATTTCCAGTCCAGCCTGTAGTACATTTACAGGCTATGGAGAGTGTGACTTACATAAAGCTGTATGAAGAGATATGTTCGTGTATGTGCTTTATAAATTGGAACTAATATAATGTCCAATGCTGAGAGAATGAAAAAAGTATAATCTTTTGTGTTGTAGAATATACAGCTTTTAAGAAATGTTGTTTTTGAAGAATTAAAAAATAAGTGTACGAGCTCAGAAAAATGCTCTTTATGGCCACTTGTGCCTCTGCAGAGTGGAACCAAGGACTGGAACAATCAGGAGGCCTGGGGGGTGGGGAGGATGTATCTGAAATATCTGAAATGAACAGACATTTCTCAGACAAAGAAGTAAAAGCATCAAGTAATATATGAAAAAATGCTCCACATCACTGGTCATTCAAGAGATGCAGATGAAAACAACACTGAGATTCCACCTCACCCCACAAAGAATGGCTGCCATCAAGAAATCACACAATAACAAATGCTGGCAGGATTGTGGGAGAAAGGAACCCTTCTCCATTGTTGGTGGGAGTGCAGACTGGTACAACCACTATGGAAGTCAATATGGAGATACCTCAAAGAGCTGGGACTAGAGGTTCCATTTGACCCAGCCATCCCTCTGCTGGGTATCTTTGCAAAAGAATTAAAAGAATCACACCACAGTGATATATGTGCACCCATGTTTATAGCAGCAAAGTTTATAATAGCTAAAACACGGAAACAGCCCATTTGTCCATCAGTTGGAAACTGGATAAAGAAGATGTGGTTTTTCTATAAAATGGAATACTACTCAGCCATAAACAGTGAGAAATTAGAGGCATTCATAGGAAAATGGATGCATATTGAGGATATACTCCTAAGTGAAATAAATAAGTCACACATGTGTAAATACCGAATAGTTTCTCTGATGTGAAAAGCTATAATGATACAGAAGATCTTAATGATATAAATGACAAAGTGAAAAAACAAGAAAAGGGCTAAAGGTGTAGGGGAAGTGGGTAGGGCAGGGAAAGGTAATAAGGGAAAAATATGAGAAAATGAAAAAATGGAAATAAAGTATTTGTAAATAGGGAAGGGAGGAGGGGGTGAAGGGAGGGCAGGGACAAGGGGGAAAAATGTAAAGGTACAAGATCCTAATGATGAATGTAACTGTACTGTATACCTAAAATGTATCAATAAACTCAATGAGGGAAAAAAAAGTGTACACATATAGCGATGACAGGATGGGGCTATTTCTGCTGACATACAAACATATCTTGTAGACTATTTCTGAAGTTTTACATGTAAAGACATAAATGCATGGTTATTGCCCTACAGAAAATCTCCTTAGGACATGAACTGAATGACATTTAGCCTGCTGTATGCACCTCTGTAACCTGAGAGCCAAGCATAAAGCATAAAACAGTAGGTGGTTAATGAATTAATGTTTGAGTTTTAAAGAAATACAATATTTACTATAATGTACTCAAATACAACTCTGGTTCATAAGCAATAAAGGAATATATCTTGCAGTGTGTGAAACACAAATTTGTTTATTTTGTATTCATTAAGTTTCTTGGTACACAATACGATGGCATTCATCATTGTGGTCTTGTGCCTTTACATGATATGTCTTGGTTCTTATTTTTTCCCACTCCCTGCCCTCCCTTCAACCCCTCCACGTCTCCCTATTTACAAAGCCTTTGTTTCCATTTTATCCTTTTCTCATATTTTTTCCTTTCCCTTTTTCCTTCCCTTACCCCTCCTATTTCCCCTTCCCTTTTAGACCTTTTCTTCCGGTGAAACAGAAATTTAGTATAAAATTATAAACAATGATTAAAACAATATTCAGCCAACAGGTAATTCAACTGTTAACATAGTATAATTATTATTTTTAAATGTAAGCAATGTATTTTTAAGCCACTGATTACTTTTCTAAAGTTTATGCTGAGTGTGTCTGCTACACCAGAAGATGTTCTTTTTATATTTTCAAGTAACAAGTTTAAAAATCTGCTTTAAAATATCTTTGGAAAATTTTAAGAAGACTAAAGTATAATGCTTGCAGAATGTGAATCTTATTGTTGTGTACTTTGAAAGGGTAAATAGCTATGTTTTATTTCTATTAGTTTCCTCTTCTCTCTTCAACTGTTTCTTTTTAGAAGTTCAAGTATATATTATTTCATATACACACAAACATACACTTACTGTAAAAAGATAGAATCCTCTATATAATACCCTGTATTATATTTGTATTTTTCAGTTCACTATTGTATAATATTTCTTATCTGTACATGGAAGCTACTGATCTCCTACTGAGACACACTGAGTTATTTTACTAATTTTAGTTGACACTCAGTTGCTTGTCTTAGGAATTTTAGGTATACCACTTAAAATACCAAATTAACTAACAGTGAAAAGTTTATCACTTACCCTATCTCTGCTAGCTAATATATTTTCACTTATCATTTTTGTTTTATTTTTTCTTTGTTTTGTTTTTGTCTTATTTCTCCGGCTAATATTTCTCATGCTGTTAACCAACAACCATGCTGATGTCAACTTAAATGGAAGACAGGTGGTATTTGTCTATTAAAGATGGCACTTTTAGACTGAAAGACATTCTCATTTGTCTTCTCAGTCACAGATTTTATTATGCTATTAACAACTAATTACGTATTTCACTTCATATAAAAAGTGAAGTGATTTATTCCATACAAGAATAATTAATAATTAATAATTAAATAGCTAAAGGTGTAGAGAAAGTAGGAAGGGTAGGGGAAAGCTAATAAGGGGAAAAATATGAGAAAATGAAAACATGGAAATGAAGTGTTTGTAAAGGGGAAGGGAGGGGTGAAGGGAGGGCAGGGACAAGGGGAAAAAATAGAACCAAGACCACCTGCCACATAAAGGTACAAGATTCCAATAATGAAATGTAACTGTACTGTATAGCTAAAATGTGCCAATAAACTCAATGAGGAAAAAAAAATTAAATAGCAAGCCCAAGACTAGCAGTGTGAAGAAACCTTGGCATTTCTATTGATAGCTGAGGGAGCTCAGGAAAAGGAGGCCTGAACTGCACTGGTTTATAGTCAAGCTTGAGTTTCCTTGGAGAGTTCAAGAACCCATTCATAGAGTGTCAAGAGCAAGGTTGAGGGGATCCATGGGAAGGAATGGGGACCTGTAATCAGGAGTTCAGGTGGGGTCAAGCTCTGTCCAGTCAGGAAGAAAGTGTTTAGCGGGGGTGCATCATTCTATGTTCTGTACTTCGAAGTTCACTGCAGCCAGTATCTAGCTCTGGCCATTGGGTCCAACGCAGGTACTTGTTTTAGTCACTTTGTCCTCACTGGGACAAAATCTCTGACACCAGCAATTTAAAAGAGGAGAGGTTAATTGGGGCCCACAGACTTTAGAGGTTTCTTTCCATATTCAGCTGGCTGCAAGGCACATGTGTCATGGCAGAAGACCACATCGAGAGCAGCTCATATCGTGTTCGCAGAGGAGAGAGGAGACGAGTGCCGGGGAGGGGAAGGCAACGTTCCCGCTCACACGCTCAGGATCGACCTCCTACCAGGCCCACCTCCAAACCGCACACTCAGCTACAGAGCTAGTCAGCAGACGAATCCACTGATGAGCACAGGGCCCCATGCTCCAATCACTTTTCAAAAGTGCTGCCTCTCGGGGCCGGAGATTTAGCTCAGTAGTTCTGCTGCCTGCTTCGCAAGGGCAAGGACCCAAGTTCGATCCCCATACTCCCCCCCCCAAAAAAAGTGCTGCCTCTGAATGCAAGAGCTTGGGGGGAAATGTGAGATCTAACCCTATAATACTTCTACAGCATCTGGTGGTGGCTTCAG